CCCACTGCAGGGGTGGAGGCTGCCGAGGATGTCCCCTATGCTTACAAGGGCAATGAGTGGCTTGGCTATGACAACACCAAGAGTTTCAAAATCAAGGTGGACTGTGTTCTATGGATTGTTGTTGCCTCTTTGTTCCCATCCATAGCCCTGGAGCCCCAGGCCGGCCTTGATGTCTGCACTTCATTGGGTTTCTCTATAATTACCACAGGCTGACTGGCTGAAGAAGAACAACTTTGGAGGCGCCATGGTCTGGGCCATCGATCTGGATGACTTCACGGGCACTTTCTGCAACCAGGGCAAATTCCCCCTGACCACCACCCTGAAGGACGCCCTGGGTCTGCAGAGTGAAAGTGAGTTGGAGTTGACACCCTAAGCCTCAAACTTGAGAGACATTTCAAAGATTTCTTGAAAGTCAAGGAGTCATGGTCCAAGGGATTTGATGAGTATTGCTCTATTCGTACTTGGGAATGTTTCAATAATGGTGGGGAGAACAAACAGGGTTCTTCACCACTCCTTTATCCATAATTCATTTCACAAGCAAGATTTTAGCATCTATTAGGTATTAGCACTAAGTAGGTATGACAGAGGATCCTGAATGTATAAGTCACAACCTCTACTCTATAGAAGCTTACAATCTAATGGGAGAGATACTATTGATGAGATTTCAAAACTAGATAACAAAGAAGATATTCTATGGTGAAATCCCAGAAAAGGGATAAGAAACTTCCTTGTGACATTATGTCATTAAGGTCTCAATGCATCAGGGGAACTAGGAAGGAGGAAAAAAAGACAAATTATGCTTTGAAGGATGAAGAGGAAGTTCGTTGATAAGCAGAGAGGAGAGGGGAGGGCAGGCATACCAGATCAGGAGACTGAGATATGCACAGACATGGAAGGAGGAGCTAAGAAGCAAATCCAGGATATTAGTTCTCACGCATCAGACACACTAACAGAAGCAGGGGGCTCAGGATCTGGCTTCTTTCTTTTAGGTTGCAAAGCCCCAGCCCAGCCCATTGCTCCCATCACCGAGGCTCCCAGTACAGGTGGAGGCAGTGGCAGTGGCAGTGGCAGCGGCAGCGGCAGCTCGGGAAGCAGCCCCGGGGGCAGTGGATTCTGTGCCAACAGGGCCAGTGGCCTGTACCCCGATCCCACTGACAAAAATGCCTTCTACAACTGTGTGAACGGACACACCTTCATTCAGCACTGCCAGTCCGGCCTGGTCTTTGATGCCTCCTGTTCCTGCTGCAACTGGTGATGTCTTTGCCAGACACCACGTCCCTCATTCCAGCTCAGAAATTGTTGTACAATAAAGGGTTGAGCATTACTGTGCAGCAGCTTCTACTTCTTTCCTGTAGGGTCTTGAGTGTAGTTAACCCCACTCTCCCAATGACATCCAATAGCTCCACCAGCCCACCAGCCACGTGGTTCTATGGTGGCACCCACAGCAGGCACGGCTCTCTCCTGGGTGCTGGGTGGAGGGAGCGGAGGGATTCAAGGAAGATGCCTGGTCCTTTCATTCTCAAAACATGTGCTCAGAGGAGGATGGGAGGAGACAAGGATGTAAGAGTCAAATAAGGACCCATAAACAAACGTCTCTCTATACATTCCTTTAGAGCAGAGATTTCCAACTGGTGTGCCAAGAATTTTTAAAACATGCAATATCTGACTCTTTAGGCAGACGCACTGACCTTTTTTCCCTGAGAACGTCAAATAAAAAAATGACAACAGACAGCACAACAATAGCCATCCAGGGTGAATGAATCAAAATTATACATTTGGGGGTTTTTTTTGGTGTTGCAGAATTTTAGTAATTAGTTTATGTGTGCCATGAGACGAAAAAGGTTGAAAATTGCAGTTTTAGAGAACTATTTCTAGATGTTCAAGGGATGCGATAGTGAAGATTTGGAGGTAGTTTATATGTGAAAATAAGAGAGGAAATGGGTTTGAGCAGGATTGGGAGGATCAGGAGGGATAGTGAGACAGGGGAGATGGGCTACTCTGGGAAGGCAATTTAAAGCGAGGAGCCTGGCCCATGTAAAAGTTGGGAGGTTGTATGTAAATTTCTTGAGCTAAACCCAAACAAATGAAGCTTTAATATTTAAAATAAACTTAAGAATTTAAATCACTTCGATAAATTGGAGGTTGAATTCATCCATCAATGGACACTTAGATTGTTTCCACATCTTGGTTTACAAATATTGCTGCTATGAACAGGGGGTGCAGGTGTCTCCTTGACAAAGTGCTTTCATTCCTTTGGAGATATATCTAGAAGTGGACTGTTGGACTATATAGTAGTTTTGTTCTTAATTTTTTGGAGAAGCTCCATATAGGTTTTCATAGTGGCTGCACCAATTTACACTTCTACCAACAGTACACGAGGGTGCCCTTTCTCCATGTCCTTGTCAATACTCACTGTCTCTTGTCTTTCGATGAGAGCCATTCTAACAGGTGTGTGGTGACATGTCATGTGCTTCTGATGATAAACATCTTTTCACACACCTGTTGGCCATTTGGATGTCTTCTTTGGAAAATATTTATTCACTTTCTCTGCCCATTTTTTTTGTTTTCTAAATCCTCACCCAAGGATATGTTTCCATTGATTTTTAGAGAGAGAGAGAGGGAAAGACAGACAGAAATATGAATGTGAGGGAAACACATCAACGGGTTGCCTTCTGCGCACGCCCTGACCAGGCATGTGCCCTTGACCGGAGTCAAACCCAGGACCCTTCAGTCCACGGGCCAACACTCTGTCCACTGAGCCAAACCGGCTGGGGTTGCCCATTTTTAAAATTGAATTGTGCTTGGGTTTGTTGTGTTATTTTTTTGTTAATGAATTGTATGAGTTCTTTATGTGTTTTAGATATTAATCCCTTATCCAATGTATGGCATGTAAATATTTTCTCCCATTTTGTTGCTTGCTTCTTTTGCTGTGCAAAATTTAATTTATTTTTGTTGCTTCATTCCTTTGGCTAAGACTTACAGTGCTCTGTTGAAGAGAGTGGAAAAGGGACATCCCTGACTTATTCCTGATCTTACAGAAAAGCTTCCATCTTTTTATGTTAACTCTGAGCTCTTCATACATGGCCAGGGATCTTAGTTTTTAACAACAAAGTATAGTCTTGAAAATGTAAGCTACTTTTTCATTTTGTTCATGTTTACCACCAAAATCATATCTTCTTTTTAATTCTCAGCCTTTATCTCTTTTTAAGTTAAATTTCATTTTGGTCAATATAATACATGTATATAATTAAGACATCAAAAATACTTCACAGTTCTCTAGAGGATCAATTTTACCTACTATATTAGTATTTATATATATTATATAACCATTAGCCATTATATGTATAAACAAAAGAATCGATAGCCAGACAGAAATAATTTTTTATAAATATATTTTTATTGATTTCAGAGAGGAAGGGAGAGGGAGAGATATATAAACGTCAATGATGAGAAAGAATTATTGATTAGATGCCTCCTACATGCCCAATGCTGGGGATCGAGCCCGCAACCAGGGCACAAGCCCTGACTGGGAATCAGAACCGTGGCCTCCTGGTTCATAGGTCGACGCTCAACTCCTGAGCCAGGCCAGCCGGCCAGACAGAAATAATTTTGTAAATTATAGTAGAAATGTTTTTTCCATATATATATGTATATATGTGTGTGTGTGTGTGTGTGTGTGTGTGTGTGTGTGTGTATAACGTTATTTGAGTCTAAGATAAGAAAAATAAAACAGAAAGTTTTGTGGTGCCAAAAAACTGTGGATTGAGAATCAATCCAGGTACCGTTTTTTCCTTTCTATTCCCCCAGCCCTGCTCTCTTAGTGACTGTGAAGTCAGATTGCACGCTAAGCTAAGGAACGAGTGGAGAGTAACCTGGGTCGCAGCTATCTCTACCTGGCTGTTGATGGCCTACCCAATCGCAGCTGTGTCCATTATCTTACGGGCTCTGGGCCCTGAACTCTGCCACGTGGGCACTGAGAAGCCATTCCTTTCATGGTGCTGGTGCAAATAAAGTGCTCCAACTATTGTATGGCCATAAGGATGGGAATTCTTTCCAACACACAAGTGCTCAGATGGCAGGCAAGCTGGATGGGGACTCACCTGGAATGTTTAAGGAGCTATTAAGAAGGGATTCTTTATCTGCAGGTCACTCATATGGCGCCAGGGGTGCCAAATTCAACAGAAGATACTTCACTAAGTTTACACAGCAGCTAGACCTGATAGTCAAATAGGATAAACCTGTGATTACTGCCTTGCTGCTTGTTTTTGCAAGTCCTTGACTTAACCATGATTTGCCACAATTCTGGCTCTTAGTCCCAACATTATTCTCCTGGGTGTCTCAGGAAAATGCCTATTCCAGTTCTACCTAGACCACCAACCAGCCTAGTCAATTCATATAAAGAGGTAGCGCAGGGTGAATGTTAGATTTTCATTCTAGAGGCAGCTAATCTTGGCACTGAGTCCTGGATCTGGTGCTTAAGATTTGGTCCATTTTCTCATCTACAGAATTGGGCTGATAGTAAGGATTCTTTTAATAGGTAAATTAAATAATGAGTACAGAGCCCTGATGAACATTCATTGTTCTTTGGCCACTCGGCATCCACTCTCCATTCTTTTGAATTTCATTTTGTGACCAGTCCTGATGGAAATGAAAATCCAAGTGCCCTGTCCTTTCCTTCATCAAACTTGTCTGGATTCACAATAAGTCTGCTAAGGTGCCAACATCCCATGATGGGGATGCCTACCATCTGCATTCCGGGTATTGTCACAGGACAATAAGCAGTACAGACAATATGTAGTAGAGTCTATAGAGAATTTCAGAGGAAGGAGAGACCATTGAGCTTCAACGAGAGGATCTGACCTGGGTGTTGAAGAATTGAAAAATCAGGGTAGGCAGTGAGGAGAAGGGAAGGCATTACAGGCAAAGGATAGAGGGATAGTGAGAACAAATGCTGTTCTTGAACTTTTTAATGGAATTACTTGTACGTGATATATTTAGGGATAATGGATAGGTCATTTTGCTGAAGCAGAAATTTATTATAAAACAATGGATAATTTTGGGAAAGGTGGGTTGAAATAAATTTCAAACAAGAAATTCTAGAAATAGTCAAGTTGCAAATATTTCTATCAAAAGAGATTCTCTTCAATATCATCGCCATCCTCTATCAGCAACATGAAATATGTTTCCATCTCTTCTGGAGGTAATTTGGAACCGTGGAGCCCTAGAGAGCATTCTGTGACCTTTGGAAGGGATATGTAGAGACTCATACATTCCTAGATAAAATTATTGTATAAGAATGACTTATGGTTGCCCTAGCTCAGTAATGGCGAACTTATGACACGTGTGTCGGAGGTGACACGCGAACTCATTTTTTTGGTTGATTTTTCTTTGTTAAGTGGCATTTAAATATATAAAATAAATATCAAAAATATAAGTCTTTGTTTTACTATGGTTGCAAATATCAAAAAATTTCTGTATGTGACACGGCTCCAGAGTTAAGTTAGGGTTTTTCAAAATGCTGACACGCCGAGCTCAAAAGGTTTGCCATCACTGCACTAGCTGGTTTGGCCCAGTGGATAAGAGTGTTAGCCTGCAGACCAAAGGGTCCCGGGTTCAATTCCGGTCAAGGGCACATACCTTGGTTGCAGGCTCCTCCCTGGGCCTGGGCCCTGGTCGGGGTTCATGCAGGAGACAACCAAACAATGTGTTTCTCTCACATCGATATTTCTCTCTGTCTTTCCCTCTCTATTCCACTCTCCTTTAGAATCAATAGAAAAATATCCTCAGGTGAGGATTTTTAAAAAAAAAGAATGACTTAAGGTCATTCCAGAGTGCATAGAATATTCAAAAAAGCAGCACCTGAAGTAGAAATGTCCCTTAGGCACCGATTGTACAAATTACATACAAGTAATTCCATTAAAAAGTTCAAGAACAGCTAATAACTTCCAAAGGCTTTCATTATTATTTACTTTCCAATAAACACAAGCTTTGGTGCTAGGCACGAAATGTCCACAACATAAAAACCTAACCGCGTGGTGAAACACATGCTTATCAACCCTGGGAACTGCCAAAAAGGCTATTAAGCTGGTGCTTTCCATGGTGATGGTCTTCCCACCCAGCTGGGAGCCATGGCATGTTCTGTCCTCATGGAGCAGGGAGAGCGGTGGTGGGAGAACGGAGGTTGGAGGTCCACCAAGCGGTGTTTGCAGGAAAGGAGGTCTGTTGGTTCCTGATAAGCTACAGGCACACCTGGCTTAAATGTTCTCCATCTGGAAGCCCTCGTGATAACCAGCAACCCGCACGGCATAAAAAGCCGATCCGGGCCCTGCCAGACCAGTACCGACAGCAGCCATGGCCAAGCTTCTTCTTCTCACAGGTGGGTGTGTAGTCAGAGAGAGCGCCTTATTCTGCCTCCGCTGATAGCTTTTTTCTCTCGGGATCTGGCAGGTGGGAAGCAGTCTTCACGTTACACCTCAATCCTTTTCCGTTCTTGGTTCATCATTTCAAATTTCCAAGAGAATCCTGACATAGACAAGCCAGCCTACCTCTTGTTCTCTTAATTGATTCTGGTAACATTTCCACCTTCATTAATCCCAAGGACCTAAAAGAAAGGCTGTTGTTTTCCAGTGTTTGTCTCACTCTCTCATTTCTGGCTGGGTCGTTCCTTTCCTCCATTCATCTTCCTGCACCCCCTCTTTTTAATTGATATTATTTCTATGTACATGCTTGTGTCCTTGGTCTAGCTTTCAGGAGGGAAACTCAGTAGGAACTGAGACAGTTAGGCAAGCTATCTTTTTCTAATGTTTTCAGAATTATTTCTCTTTTATCCCCTAGTTTCCTACTGAGCTGCTGATGTATTATAAAAAATGTCACTGTTAGAGCTTGGCCAGCATGGCTTTGTTGTTGAGCATTGACCTATGAACCAGGGGGTCACAGTTCGATTCCTAGGCAGGGCACATGCCCAGGTCGCTGGCTTGACCCCCCAGTGTGGGGCATGCAGGAGGCAGCTGATCAATGATTCTCATAACTGATGTTTCTATCCCTCTCCCTTCCTCTCTGAAATCAGTAAAAAATATATATTTTAAAAATGTTACAGTTAGAAATTCAATTATTCAAAGTGGTAGATTCAGTAAAGTGTTCAGAACCAAGTTGCATCCATAGTTTATTAGATGCTCTCAAGCTGTGATATATATATTTCAGAACCTTTTCTAAATGAAACCTCTAGCTCAATTTATAAAACAATCATATTGCAAGTACTTTGATAGAAGCCAGGGAGAGGGATCTGGCGTCTGGCCTCACAGTTTCTCATTCTCTTCTGCAATAAGGGCTCCTAAAAGTTGGTTCAAACAAAAAAATTCCCAGGCTCCAGGAGATGCTGAATTCACTGATTCGGAGAATGCCTTGTCTGTGGAAGGCTGTACTCAGCCCACTTCAGGGGGGTGAAGTGTATATGTACGTGTAGCCACTCAGCAGAGTGAATTCCAGGTAATTACTGTCAACAGATCTTCCATAGATGGTAGTCTTGAACTCTGCCTTCAGTGACAGTTATCTGACATGGAAGGTGGACGAAGAGAGAACCGTAGCCATTTCTGACTGAGAGGAGGGAAGGGTAGATCTACTAGTGATTTCACTGAGAAGCCTACTCTTTGGCTTAACCCCTTAGTGCCTCTTGGGCTGTAACAACCTCTGACAAATAGGACGGCATCCAAATCCTCGGAATTAGATTCTACAGGATAGACGACCGGTCCAGAGTACATGTTTTTGTTTTTATTTTCTATTTTTTCCCTCTCACTCTCTATTTCTCTCTCTTTCTAGGTCTGGCCCTTCTGGTGAATGCTCAGCTAGGTAAGTCCCGGATTTTATCTTTGGCATAATCTTTTCCTGCCATAAACCTCAAATTCTTATCAATTATTCCTATTGAAATTATCTGCTGATATATGTGATTTTTAAATATTCCAATATTTTTTTTCAAAAGTATATCAAGAGATAAACCATACTAGGAAAGAGAGCTACGATCTACTTCATAGACGGGTGGGTTTGACATTGGGAAAATCGAGGGTTTAGGGTTGGCTGCCATGTTGTCTTCGTCAGCATGGCCACCTCACAGTTAGAAACGGGTATTCACTGGGCTTCATAGGACTCCTGGGCATCTTTTCTTTAGTGGTCCCCATGTTTATACAAGATCTCAATATAAATTCGTCAAAGTTAAAAATAGCCAGCCCCCAGTCGCCCACTAGTTCCCAAGTCAGAACCCTTGAACTCATCTGCGAGAGTGCTCACACACAGGGACGGGGCATCTGAGGCAAAGGGAGGGAAACAAGACCCGTGGCACGTTTCAGTAGCGTCCAAACCAGGCCACTGTCCTTACTCCTTACTGCCCACAGGCTCTGCCTACCAGCTGATATGCTACTTCTCCAACTGGGCCCAGTACCGGCCAGGCCTGGGCCGCTTCACGCCCGATGACATCGACCCCTGCCTCTGCACTCACCTGATCTACGCCTTCGCCGGGATGCGCAACAACGAGATCACCACCATCGAATGGAATGACGTGACCCTCTACCGGGCTTTCAATGGCCTGAAGAACAAGTAAGAGAAGGGGGAAATATCTCATTGAGTATCTCTCAATTCAGTACTTCCCAAACATGATGTGCAAGCGAATCATCTGGCATCTTTCTAAAATGCAGCTCCAATTCAGCGAGTCTGGGGTGGGGACCAAGATTCTGCATTTCCAATAAGCTCCCTGATGCTTCTGATGCTTCTGGCCCAGGAGCAGGAATATAGGTAACACAGCACATTGCCTGCTCTAGCAGGTATTCGAAACATATTAGTTGCGTTTCTTCCTTCCATTGTCAATCTTTTTTAAGACCCAGGAAACTGCAAGCCGTCTCAGCTACTTTCAGATCAGGAGGCAGAGGGTATAAACGATTAGACATCGTCAAACCCAAGAGAACAGAAGAATTTGAATGGAGTTCTAGTTTGTGTAAAAAAACAAATCAAACAAACGAAAAACCTACTGTCTTTTCATTTCTGATTTGTTCGGTTTAGTTATATGTAGGAGAAGCAGCACTCCATTAGGAGTAGCACTGTCCTGGGTGCAGCTGCTCCAGGGAAGTTCTGCTACCTAAGAGGAGCTGAACTCTTTGGACCGGTGTTTCTGGAAACGTGGTCCATTTGACTACTTGTATGGAAATCACCTGGGCACTTGATAAAAATGCCAACGCTTATCCAGTCCTACTGTTGCAGAACCTCTGGCATTCCATGGTGCCCTCCCACTCTGACCCTTGCACTTTATTCTCCCATAAACTGACGTTTGAGAATTACTATTCCAGAGAAGGTGTGTAATTCTGAGCCACATAGAAGCTGAGAAAGTCACATTTACCATTTACCATTTACCAAATGTGTGCTCAAGCCACATTTACCATTTCATCTGATGGAATTGAATATGAGCACATTATGCTGACAGGTGGATAGATAAATACTAGTAGGTAGATAGCTAGAGCTACAGATATCGATATAAATAGCTACATATAGCTATATATTTCAAAAATGTCGCCAATTCATACTTTTTTTTTAGACAACCCATTCCCATAATTTAGTTTTCCCCAAAGAGCCCTGAGTAAATTTATGATGATCACAACACAAAGAATTGTTACAAAGGAAGTGTTCGGGAGCGGAGGAAAAGTTGTTTTGCAATATAGCAGCATGTCAAGGCAAGGTCAAGGTATAAGACGGGCCCCAATACCAAAGCAATGTTAGTTTCAATAGAGAGGCTCATGGGTTTTGAAGTTTCTCTTTTCTATCCTTCGCTTCACAGGAACAGCCAGCTGAAAACGCTCCTGGCCATCGGTGGCTGGAACTTTGGAACTGCCCCGTGAGTCCCTATGGGAGAGGCCGGGCCTTATTTGCAATTGAAAACAAGGTAGCCCAGTGAGAACCCTGTCCCTTCAGACCTCACAGTCTAAGACAGTGTGTTAACGATGTACAACAAACAAATATGCTGCTTAAATAAATTACTACACCAGAGCCTCAATAATAAATAGGATGCGATTGATTTTAGATATTTAAATGTGGGTAGAAATTCTGGCATCCTATTCATCAAGGTTTAGTTAATGGGATTTGCAAAAAACAATCTCCTTTTAAAGACTTTCAAGAGCACAGCCCCAGAGAAAAGTGTTGGAGCAATTTTCTCTGTTTACCTTCTGCGGGAAGGGAAGGGAAAGGCATGTAAATGAATGAGACTTGGCTGAGGGCAAATGTGCTTGGGGGACTATTTGGAGAGAGAACACAGTGAGCTGTGAGCATGAGCAGAGGGAGGCAGGTGTTCAAGGCAATCAGTGCAACTTGGCAGAAAGGTCAGAGTTGGATCAATAAAATAGAGGCAGCATTGAGGTACCATGGCTGGGCACAGCAGGGATGACAATGGAAGGACAGGAGAAAACCAGGTTCGTACTTTTATTTGGGCTGTGGATCCTGGTGAAGAGCTTTGAGGCAAAAATATGGGAGTTTGATATTATGACAAGGTGTCGGGACCACAGAGGCAAGCCCTCACCCTGCCCGCTTGGGGTCTCCCGTAGTTTCACTGCCATGGTGTCCACGCCTGAGAACCGCCAGACTTTCATCGCCTCGGTCATCAGATTCCTGCGCCAGTATGACTTCGATGGGCTGGACTTTGACTGGGAGTATCCTGGCTCTCGGGGGAGCCCGCCTCAGGACAAGCACCTCTTCACTGTCCTGGTGCAGGTGAGCTGTGTTCCATGTCATTTTAAAATTCAAATTTCATTTTTAAATTCCAGTTTGCATTCAATATTCTTAATATTAGTTTCTGGAGAGCACATAACCCATTTCATATGCAAGATCACTGAGGCCATACAGAAAACCCAGCTCCCTGCAACCTCAGTGGGAGAGGAAGGACCTGGATGCCCTAGTGCCGTGGGAATGCTGAAGAAGGAAAGATGGACGATGGATTAAATTTAATTCAAAGAATAGTCATGAACGTCAACTTAGAGTTCACGTTCACAGACGTTCTCCTGCTCTCGCACAGGAAATGCGTGAAGCTTTTGAGCAGGAGGCCAAGCAGGTCAACAGGCCCAGGCTGATGGTCACGGCCGCAGTCGCCGGTGGCATCTCCAACATCCAGGCTGGCTATGAGATCCCCCAGCTGTCTCAGTGAGTGACCCCATGTCCCCGGCTCCTCTGTGTCACTCGTGTAAGAGTCGCTCATCCTTGGTCTGTCTTGCTGTTTGGGGACCTTGTTGAGGAGGCTTTGGGAGGGGTGTCTTTGCCTGCAGAGGTGTGGGAGATGACCATCAGAGATGGTTTTACCTGCTTTACCTGGACTGCAGGTACCTGGACTACATCCATGTCATGACCTATGACCTCCATGGCTCCTGGGAGGGCTACACTGGAGAGAACAGCCCCCTCTACAAATACCCAACCGACACTGGCAGCAATGCCTACCTCAATGTGGTGAGTCCCTATACAGACATATATACAGACCAGAGATGGTGTCCTAAATTGCATGGGGATTTGGGGACAAACAAACATAGATTCTGCAAATGTCTCACATGTTATAACTGTTCCCTTAAGTGGCTAATCAAATCTCGTCAACTATAATTCCACCAAAATGTGTTTTTAAAAATACTAACAAATCCTCTGTCATTAAGATATCCTAAATCGCATGGGGATTTGGGGACAAACATAGATTCTGCAGATGTCTCACTTGTTATAACTGTCCCCTTAAGTGGCTAATCAAATCTCTTCAACTATAATTCCACCAAAATGTGTGTTAAAAATACTAACAAATCCTCTGTCATTAAGATCAAACAAACAATTTGCCTGCTAGGACAGGGGTCTAACATCACCAAGCCCCGGGCCATCAGCCTGGCGGGGCCTGTCTCTAACCTGCTGCCATTGCAGGATTACATCATGAACTACTGGAAGGACAATGGGGCCCCTGCAGAGAAGCTCATCGTTGGATTCCCATCCTATGGACACACCTACATCCTGAGCAACCCCTCCAACCATGGGATCGGGGCTCCGATCACTGGCCCTGGCCCTGCTGGGCCCTACACCAGGCAGTCTGGGTTCTGGGGTTACTATGAGGTATGCTCCTGGCAATCTGAGAGAGACAGAGAAAGGCCGTAGGTTTAACAATATAAGCAATCCAACACATCTTGGCTCACTTATGTAGTTGGGGCTAAAAGTGGATGCTCCTGGCTATTTATAAGGAAGGCAAGATGAGCACTCATGTGGCACGTTAGGCTGGATGCCAAATACAGAGACAGTAGGAAAAGGAGATACCATCAGCGAGATTACATCAGTGAACAGACACTGCTCACTGCCTGCCAAGGCATTCTTTGATTTAAGAGCTTCTCCCACATGGAAAATAAATGACCCACATGTGACAAAGGATCAAATCCTAAAGGAACTGAGAAATTTGCTGATAGAGCTATAGGCCTTCCTTTTCAAGTAGCTTCATGCATCCCTTCCCTATTTCCCTTCCCCAGGCCCGTTACCCCTGTTACATGGACACTGTGCCCACCTCTTGACCTCTTCCTTACCTCCTCTTAGATCTGCCCCTTCCTGAAGAATGGCGCCACTGAAGTGTGGGAGGCTGCCCAGGATGTCCCCTACGCTTACAAAGGCAATGAGTGGCTTGGCTATGACAACACCAAGAGCTTCAAAATCAAGGTGGACTGTGTTCTACGGATTGTTGTTGCCTCTTTGTTCCCATCCGTAGCCCTGGAGCCCCAGGCTGGCCTTGATGTCTGCACTTCATTGGATTTCTCTGTAATTACCACAGGCTGACTGGCTGAAGAAGAACAACTTTGGAGGGGCCATGGTCTGGGCCATCGATCTGGATGACTTCACGGGCACTTTCTGCAACCAGGGCAAATTCCCCCTGACCACCACCCTGAAGGACGCCCTGGGCCTGCAGAGTGGAAGTGAGTGATAGCAGGAGGATGTTCAGGGATCCTTAAATGCTCCTTCTCTAACTCAAAAGATAGTTCTCACATCTGCCCATCCCCATTGACCAGGGGGCATTTTCCCATTTCATTTCCCTGCTTTTGAGAGATAGGTGCTAAAGTCTTTCTCTGCCCTTGAACTTCCATGACAGAAATGTCATGCTCTTATGGGAAACCAAGCCTACCTGGGTGGGTTTTCCAGGCCTGCTGAGTCTTAAAGGTATAGCAAAACCTCAAGAAATTAGGCTGACCTTATAACATAAACATTTACTTCTCTATGATCCCTTTATTAAAAGTCTCTTTCAGCCCCTCTGGGGAGATTTAACAAGAAAGCGTTAGTAGTGCTCACATATTTCTAATCTGGAATTCAGGAAAATTATCAACTCCCTGAACTTTTCCCCGATTTTCTCTTAGAGCTTATTTGCTCAGGACTTATACTCATATCCTAGACAAGTCTTTTTCACATTTGGGCGCTCAGTAAATTTGTTTTAATGATTTTGATATCGTCAGGGAAGATCGTACTTAATAAACTTAGAAACCAGGCTGGCTTAAAATGACAGCTTTCCC